CCTTGCCCTTCGAGTCATCTTAGCGGAAAGGGTTTGGCACTAAAAGAGGGACCTAGCCAGCGCCAAGAGATAAGGAAAGATTCACTGGTTCAGCTTTCGAGCCTCTTAGCGGCAGAGCATTTCTCATCCGGAAAACATAGTGCTGGACGTAGGGAACCTTAGGCTGAACTAAGGGACCTACTGATACGATGCTGATAAGTTGGTTTATTTGACGTAAGAGGATGGTCTCTCGAGAAGAGTGATGTTTGCATTTGCGCATCGCTAATCACAGACGCTCCGATGCTCCGCATTCATGCTGCAGAATGCGATAGTCGTATTTGCCAAGGCATTCCCCGTTCTTTATGTAGATGGAAAAAAGGGTCAGATGAGACTCTGCCATGCGATTTTTCCTTTGACTGGCGTGGGGGGATTCGCGCTGGGGGCCATAGCTCAGAGGACGGACCGTGCTCATAGGAGTTCGTCTACCTACTACGTAAGACAAGGCCGTCAGCATATTGCCCAAGGGTCGGTTTTTGTTGCCAGAGAAGGAGGGAGGATGGTTATTATACTAATTTGAAGGATCTGGGAAATTCATCGGCTCGCTGCACACGTTGTCTGCGAGTGACCATACGCCATGCCATGCCATGCTACCATGTATGTTACCTCCCCCATCACCCGGCAGGCACAGCGCGATGCAATCCTCTCATCCTATCTATCATGCCACTGAAAGATCTTCAACGATTCGTTTGCACTAAGGCCGCCAGCGATTGGATGGGCATTTAAGCTTAAACAACCAGGAGGGCTGGGAGTTTTCCATTACGTACAATAACGATTCTGATCAATGATCATCGTCGGTGCTGTCTTGGACTTACCAGCCGGTCGGTTTCTCAGTGGTTGATGATCATGATCCAGCAACGGCGGCCTTGGCAGCAGCGTTATTTGGGCGTTTCTGGCGGCAGCTGGTGGAGATGGCAGGAATCCGGAGCCAGGTATCGGCCAGAAGTCTTGAAATTGAGCCACTCAAACAGCGACAGGCAGCCGGTGCTCAGCAAAGATAAGAAAGTCTGGGGTTTGAGATACAGGTCCATTATTTGCCTGAACTGGCCATCGATCACTGGGCAGCAGCAGGGGTGAGCCTGTGACGGGCATCAGGGAGGGGGCGTGGGAGCAAGGATTGGCCTGTAGGAAGCTCCATCGTTATCAGTGGGCCTGTAGCTCTTTCCGGCTCTCTCCATGGCTGTCTTCCTGTCTCTCTCTTTGTTCCTGTCTCTGTCTCTCTCGGTCTGTCTCTCTCTCGGGCCTGTCTTGCTTATGATTTGCCTCGTCTCTGGGCCAGCATCCATCCATTGCACACGCAGGATCCCCCCTACCGGAATTCCTCGTCCAGCCCACAGTTTGCGATCAACTGTGTTCGCCGTGGATGGCTGCATGGCGCCGCCACCACCGTTAGCTGATTTCTTGTGGCTCGATGGCGGTTAGCTGGAAAGACAACGTCTGCCAAGCGAGGCTATAGATAGACAAGATGGGGTCGTTATCTCTCTCTTTCGACGACAAATCGATTCTCAGCTGGCCGGCTCGACCAGTCCAATTTCCAGGAATGGATAGATGCCATCTTCCTTCCTGAGCTTAGATGGGATGAAACCCCGAACTACCATCTGGAGGGCCCAAGATCACAGAGTGATATGAAACAAACGGCATGTTGCGCTACCCATGGAGTGGCCAAAATGATACCTTCCATCATCCATGCCATGTGTTGAGCCAGGGTATGAGAGCATGGCGTATGCTGCATACATGTGGTGCCATAGACTGCCTTTCACTGCATAACAGCAAATCTCACAGCTCGTCTATGTACGACTACCCAAGCTGACTCGTCGGCTGGCTTTCCGCGCAAGTCCCAAGCAAAGGCAACCTACAGCAAGTCAGCCAAGGGAGCTCATTGAAGCCAAAAAGTCTTATCTCCCCCACACTCGTTAGCCACCAACCAACATACATGCTTCGGTCCCCATCCCATCCAGCCGTGCACACTGCCCCTGCCTGCCCTTCGAACTCACACGCCCCTAGCGAACTAGGGTCCATTGATACGGGTAGGCGGAGATGGAGTCTCCTGGCTCAATGTTCCGTCACTAAGACCTAGGTCTGACCCCCAAGCCAAGCTCTCGGGGCTTACACCGGGGTGAGGTGACTGACTGACACACGACACGGATGATCGATACTTGCCTGTCGCAGCTCAGCTCTTATATAGCACTCGCCTGTCCTCCCAGAGCATCCTTGTTTGCCTCTCTTCTCCCATCCCCTTCTCTCCCTCCTCCTTGGCCCATTCCCATCTCGGGTCCCATCCCTCTTCCACCTCATCCGCTTTGATCCCAATCAAAGCTTCTGGAAAGGAATACAACCTCCTCCCACCCCATTGAGGGACAGACACAGGACATCTTGCCCGTCATGTATGCCGAGGAGTACAATGGCACCACCACCGAAGCCAACTTCGGTTGGGACACCGACTCTGACGACTTGAACGTCTTCTACGATGTGAGCCAGCTCTCCCCATCTCCCCACGCCTGGCTATCAGTCAACTCATTGCTAACCTCCTCCTCCAGACTGGAAACATGTGCTTCCTGCTAGTGTGCGCCGCGCTGGTCTTGCTCATGATCCCCGGTGTCGGTCTCTTCTACAGTGGTCTCGCCCGTCGCAAGTCCGCCCTCGAGCTCCTCCTCCTCTCCATGCTCAGCTGCGCCGTCGTGAGCTTTCAGTGGTTCTTCTGGGGCTACTCCCTCACCTTCTCTCGCACCGGAAACTCCTTCCTTGGTGATCTCTCCATGATTGGCCTCCAGAAGACAATGGCCCAGCCCAATGGCTCCAGCGCTCTCCCTGACATTCTCTTCTGTCTCTACCAGGGCATGTTCGCTGCCATTACGTGAGTAACCACAATCCTCTGGTCTCTCGAACCAAACACGTCCTAACATTTGTTCTCCAGTCCTGCCCTGGCCATTGGCGCCGTCGCTGACCGCGGTCGCATCCTCCCCGCGCTCGTCTTCTTCTTCATCTGGACCACCGTCGTCTACGACCCGATCGCCTACTGGACCTGGAACGCCAACGGCTGGCTCTACAAGCTGGGCTCCCTCGACTTCGCCGGCGGCGGTCCCGTCCACATCTCCTCCGGCTCCGCCGCCCTCGCCTACTCCCTCATGCTCGGCAAGCGCACCGGCTATGGCAACAACGCCGGCATGCCCTGGAGGCCGCACAACGTCACCAACGTCGTCATTGGCACCGTCTTCCTCTGGGTCGGCTGGTTCGGCTTCAACGGTGGCTCCGCCCTCGCCATGAACATCCGCGCCATCGTCGCCTGCTTCAACACCAACCTGGCCGCCTCCATGGGCGGTCTCGCCTGGGTCCTTCTCGACCTCCGCCTCGAGGGCAAGTGGTCCACCATTGGCTTCTGCTCCGGCGCCATCTCCGGCCTCGTCGTCATCACCCCCGGCGCCGGCTTCGTCACCCCCTGGGGCGCCCTCATCATGGGCGTCGTCGGCGGCATCGTCTGCAACTTCGCCACCAAGCTCAAGTTCCTCATCGGCATCGACGATGCCCTCGATATCTTTGCTGTTCACGGAATTGGCGGCATGGTCGGTAACATCTGCACCGGCGTCTTCGCTGCGTAAGTATTCTCCCGAATCCCCAATCCATCAGAAACCACCTTACTAACAGAACAACCCCAGTTCTTGGATCGCCGGCCTCGACGGCACCAGCCCAGACCCCCTCGGCTGGATCGAGCACCACTGGGTCCAGATGGGCTACCAGTTCGCGGGAACCTGCGCCGCCTTCGCCTGGTCCTTTGGCCTCACCTGCATCATCCTCTTCCTCATCAACCTCGTCCCGGGACTCTCCCTCCGCGCCTCCCCCGACGACGAGGAGCTCGGCATGGACGACGTCCAGCTCGGCGAGTTCGCCTACGACTACGTCGAGATCACCCGCCACCTCACCGACACCGCCAGCAGCACCAACGGCGTCGAGACCAAGTCGGAATAAAAGTCTCCCAGAGAGAGTATCTGCTTGTCCAGGGTTTTGGTTTAAACGCGTGCATATATATCTCAAAGGTCGCGCACATTTTTATTATATAAACTACATTTAAATGCACATGGAAAGAAAGGGGTAGTAGTCCCGTTGACGTAATGCGTGTTCTTCTCTCAGGCGAAGGACGGAGTGATTTCTTTGATACCAAATTCTTTTTTACACACTTACATCATCTCTCCAAGGTCCGTGAAGAAACAATGGACGATAGGATGGAATGATACAATCGCTTCTTCTAATACAAATCAAATACTAAAAACATCATCTTAATAACAACGGGGGTTGTAACATCTGATGGCATTTATGAAACTTTGCAAGAACAGCTCGTGTGGGCAACCAGAGTGAGGTAATCATGAAGTAATAGTAATATTCATTCGATAGGGAAATACCGACTTCGTTTCTCGGTTCAAGAAGCTATTAATAATTTATTGCACTCGCGCGCCAGGCTTGTAGGAAACCGGTTGCCTCTACCGACGGTCAACCGCCTGGTCTTCGTCCGAACCCCCCCGAGGAAGTGTGTCCACAATGACTTTGGACAAGAAAGCAACAAGAAACGCTCATCATATGCCTGCCATGAAAGTAATCCATCACTCGTCGCCATAAGGTCGCGCATGTTCATGACCCTCCCCTCTTGCGCCGTAGTATTGGAAAATGCTCAAGGTGAGTAGATTCCAGTCAAGCCAATCCAGCCCCTGTTGACAGTAAGAAAAAGCTCATATTCAGTCCACCTATTCGCCCACCCCGCCGTTACCACTGTGTATGCGTATAATAAAAGGCCATGTGCCCATGCCTTGAAAACTCAAAACCGCCAAATCGTCGTCAACGACCGGTTGACTTGTTGCGGTAGGCTCATCAAATCATCTAAACTTCTGGTTTGCCGTACTATAACGCTTCGACATATTCATGAGACCATGTGTCCCCGGTCCGTTCTACATCCGAATTGTCCAGTACACTGAACTCTAGTCAGCAGCCATATCTTCATCCTCTGCCCTGTTTTGGGCCGGAGACTGGCCATGCATTGGTGCTGTACTCGCGCCTCCGGTTGGTGTGATGTTCCGGCTCGAGGATTCCCCTTCTGTTTGACTTCGCACGTTTGCCACGCTGGCTTGCGTCGATCCATAGGCACTAAGAGGCGGCGATCCAACCGCCTGCTGGCTATTCAGAAAGCTTGAAAATGCTTGGGGCCTGGGCTGGTCCTCATTGGCAGGATCTGCACTACCAGAGTCAGCTGCGCCGGCATGGTCTGGCTGGACGTGAGGCGGGCGTCGTGGTTGTAGTGGTGGCAACGCGAACTCTTCGGTAGTAGTCACTGGTGCTGTATGCAAATCAATGACCATCTCGTTAGCATCCAAGCCTTCGAAGTCGTTGTCATCGTCTGCAAGGTCCTCATCAAACGCCTCGCCTTCAGGTTGCACGCCGTTGGGTGTAAGATGCCGCCGTACCCGGGTGGTTCGGAGTCGGTCTGCTACAGGCTGCAAGCTGTTTCGAAGTTCCTCAAACTGAGGGGCCGTGTTCAGAAAACGGCGGAAGTCCGATACCATGTTACCGGAGAATACACAGAAAACGTTTCGTTGATGTTGGGTGAACTCTGATGTCGAAGTCAGCTACATATGTTCCTAAAAATGGTTCTTTCAAGATGGGACCTACCCTGAGGAGCTGGTCTGCAAAAAGGCTGGAATTCATCGCGCTGAAATGCAGCAACGCCAGTCAAGCTCAGATGTGTTAACCTAGGGCAAGAGTTGAGCAACCGGATGATGCTCTAGAGGGAACGAAACAGTCAGCTTGGATCCGAAGAAATGAGACAGGCCAGATAATAATAATACCTTGAGGGTCAAGTTTACACAATAGCTGAGGTGCACACGCTCCAGACTTGGTGTGTAGTACTCGCCATGAACCAGCACACCGTTAGCATCTCGGCGTAGGACAGGTCGGTAGGCAGCCCCAGCAAGAGCATTCACAGAATCGTCTGTGATCGAGTTGCATTTCACCAACCCAATTCTCTTGAGCTTAGGGAGCAAAGCAAGGCGCTTCACCGAGTCGTCTGTGAGACGAGTACAGCAACCCAAGTCAATATAACGAATCCGGTTGCATTTGTGCGCTAATCGCTTGACTCCCTCGTCCGTGATCAACCCACAGTGGCCAAGATGAATGTAATGAAGGTTCTTGCCCAATTTCGCAATGGCAAACACGGCTTCATCGGTAATCAGGCGACACTTTGCCAAGATGAGATTGCGAAGGCGTGGAGCAGCATCGATAATCTTTGATACCGCGTGATCTGTAAGACGCAGGCACGATGTAAGGTCAAGAATTCGCAGGTGCTCAAATACTCGGTCCTTTGGCAGATAAAGGAACGCATTGTCGTCAATCATTTCGCAGTTGGCCAGCCGCAATTCTCTGAGGCAGTTGCCATGGGTCAAGAGGGACGTGACCGGGCTGTTCCCGATGGCCGCACACTGCTGCAAATCGATCTCGAGAATGTTGGGGCAGTTGGCAGCAAATGCAAGTATAGCATCATCGCGAAGCTGAGTGCACTCGTTCAATTTGAGCTGTTGATTTACAGGTTAGCAAACAAACGCACACGAAGACACTACCCAAACATACTCTCTTGATGTACTTGCAGTTCTTTGCAAGGTTGATCATGCTTTCATTCGAAATATTTGTGCAACCAGAAACGTTGAGGCCCTGAAGGCGCTTACAATTGTCGGCGATGGCATTTATGGACTCCTCAGTGATGTGGGTGTCGCTCGAGATGTCGAGGGCGAGTAGAGCTGAGCTGTTCTGGACTAAAGCGATCAGGCCGGAATCGGTCAAATTCCGGCAGGCCGTGAGAGTCAAGCGCTCAACACGGGTACAAACAGCCAGAGGAAGGACGCTGCCATCGTTGACTTTATCTGCGAGAGCAGCAAGGTTGAGACGCTTGACGAAATCGGCGTAGTTGAAGAAGGGCTTTTCGAAGCTGAGGGTTTGGCAAATGCTGTTGTGATTCTTCCAATTTGTGCATGCAGGGCGATGCCATAAAATATCGACAGCGTTTCTAGCCCATCGTTTACAGACACGCATACACGAGAACAAATCGTTGGGTGAGGTCAGCTTGGCAAAAATGCTGATGAGAATCTCGTTCGGCAGTTGGTTTACGGGCGGCCAACACGAATCATCAACGGCCATATCCTGGAAATTATGAACGCCGATGGATGACTCTGAGTCGTTGTTATTGAGGAAGAAGTCGGATTCCTCGTTATCGGCAGGGACGGGGGAGTTGGTGGTGGAGGAGGTCGAGCGAGAATCCTCCTGTTCTTCCGAGGCAGACATCGGCCGCGACGCCTGGCCAGCCTCAACCGGCGAGAGGTTGGCTGCGGAGGGCTGCATGGCAACGGCGGTAGGGAATGGTCAGGATGGTAGTCAAAGTCAGGTAGTATGTGTCGGGTACTCGTTCTGTAGAGATGCAGGTATGTGCGATGCGTTGCCGCGGTTGTTGATTGCCAGCTTCGTATGGCTGGACGCGAGAGGTTTTGATGATGCTTGGGCTGCTACCGGTGGGGTTTTTCCTCATGCCAAAGGCAGACTCTGCTTGCTCAGCGTCATCGGACCGCGACCTGACCACCGGAAGAGGCGAAGGGAGAAGGGACGTGAGGATCGTCGAGTGCCCGTGACGATCTTAGAGGGGACGGACGCCAGTGGGAGGTTGGATATGATACGGGGTCGGGCGGGATGACTGGCAATCGAGCTTCGATGTGTTGGGGCGTGACGATGGTGGATGGATGGGATGGGAGGTCCAGGATCACAGGGCTGCGACGGTGGGTAAAAGGCGGGAGGAGCGAAGGATGTACCGCCTACCAAAAGGGCCTGCCAATCAGGCGTGGCTGAGCAGGAACTCAAGTCACTTTAACTTGCGACTTAGTCACCACTGGCGCCGGGCACTGGCTAGCTGCTTTGTAACCGCGGTGGATTAGCAGTCTAGCACCGCTAAGTCACCGTCTTTAGCGTGCTGTGGTGAGTGCCCGGGCAATCGAAGCCCTGGCGCCCGAATCAGCAGGGGCTTAACCTGCGCTGGCAGCCCTTCCTGCCAGTCTTGGGCAGCCACATCACTCAGCGATAGGTATCGTATTCAAGGTTCCAATGATTCTAGGCCTTGGCACATAGGAACTTCTGGACCATCGGCTCGTCGAGCCTCGTGCAACCTTCACCTTGGAATGTTCTAGCCACAGTCCTTATTGGAAGAGTTACCATACGCCCAGCCAATGCAAAGGGGACTGCATATTACCATGCGACAATCCCCGATGAGGCACAAGTGAAACTGGCGGAAGGCTGTGACCTAGCGCGTGGCTTTGTGACTCGATCAGATGCCCGCATTAACAAGCCTATACACGGATTAATAATAGCACCCACGGAACACATGAGTGGTATTGATGCACAACAAGAAACATTACTCCTGACATCGACTCTGTGACGTTAGTAGACGCCGGGATTATTGAGCTTGGGCTGTGTATTGTTTTAGGTAGGTATGCTTGGTTTGAGAGAGGTAATAAATGTACCCAAAAGAGCAACATATCAATATCATTCCCGGTACCCAAGCCCACCCGATTTTGTTATCCATAACACGACAGATCAACAGCTTACCTTCATATCATATGAATAACATCAATTATTTCTAAAACTTGCCTCAGGGTTCAATGGAGGACCACATATCGCTATTATGCCAACATCTGCATCGCTGATAAGCTCTTCGACAGACGTAGTTGTGTCATGTATAGGGTAGGTGTGTATGCACTGGAAGCGCTGGATCTCCATCATACGTCACGTGTGGAGCCCTTCCCCTCGGATACAGACGGATTGTCATGTGTGGATGCGCTCTCTAAGAAATGCAAACGCTAGAAATGTCAATTGATCCCAAGCATCAATTGCTGGCCTTCGTTTGTGAACTATCCTAGGTCGAGCCCCTTGGTGAATTTCGCAAGTGACCTGCGATACTCGATAGGAGCTTTGCACTGCGCTTTCTCTCCGTCGCCCACGAAGCTTGAGACAACAGTAATGATTCGACCAGCCGCAGCCCGCCGGGTCATCCCGCGGACACGATGCACACAAACCCTCCGTTCCTCCCCAGCTGCTGCGCGACGGACCTTTCTATCATCCAAGAGTTCTGTTCGCGCGACGCAGGACTTTGATCTGAACAAGCTCAACACTAAGCGACGAGACTACGAGCACAATCGCACCGCCTTCCTCATTGCCGGCACCGTCGCCGGCATCACCTCATTCATATACACTGCTTTCAAGCTAAAGGATGCCTTGAAGGCGGAGGCTGAAAAGAGGAAGAACGAAAGCGCCGCACAGTGCGATGCCCCTACGATACCCAAGGAGCAGTTCAAAACGGAGGCGGGCGAGAAGCGCAAAGTTGTCGTTCACGACGAGAACGGCCAGGAAATTGTGCCCACAGGCAATGGCGTTGTACCGGCTTTCCCGCGACTCCTCAATGTGAAACTACCCTCCGAGCAGACACCGCAAGGCCCCATTGCGGCGTCGATTTCGGACAACGACGGAACCGAGTTCACCCTGGTTGGGCTCGGGACCCGCACGGTTACCTTCATCGGCATCCAGGTCTACGTTCTGGGCTTCTACGTGGCCACGCAAGATGTAGCCAAGCTGCAGAACTACCTGGTGAAGAGTGTCAACTCTCTGGCTACGACCTTGATCCCGTCCGAGAAGGAGACTCTGCGGAAGTCGCTGCTTGACCCGGCTGAGGGCGAGGAGACGTGGGACAAGATTCTGCGGGACGCTGGATGCCGCACCATCTTCCGCATCACCCCTGTCAAGGATACCGACTTCCACCATCTCCGTGACGCCATGGTAAGAGCTATCACGGGCCGGTCGCAGCGTGACGCGGAGCACTACGGTGACGAGCAATTCGGCGCCGCCCTGAAAGACTTCAAAGGCTTGTTCAACCGCGGCTCAGTCCCGAAGACAAAGGAAATCCTTCTGAGCCGTGATGGAGCCGGACAGTTCTCGCTCATGTTCGATACATCTGGCAGGAAATCTCAGAAGACCAACAAGGAAGTTCTGGGCGTGATACCTGATGAACGGATATCCAGGCTCCTCTGGCTCAACTACCTTGCCGGAAAGAAGCCTGCATCTGAGGAGGCCAGAACAAACATCATTACCGGAATTATGGAGTTTGTAGAGAGGCCCATTGGCACTGTTGCCGCTCAGGTATTGTAATACCTGTGGGAGTATTGACCCCGGATAATGTAAAATTGTACAACACTTGGAAAGCTGAATCCACACCACTTCAGTTGCAAAAAAACCGAATGCCTGAGTTAGGCAGTGTCATTTTATGTAGTCTACACGATCTGAAAACATACGAGTCACGAGAGGCTTGTTATAGAATTAAACATTCTTGTCATTTATCAAGTTTGAGAGTTCTAATACTCTTTTCTTTCAAAACTCAACTGGCTATGACTTTATTTATACCGACCCCCGCAACATTCCTCATCTCATCTAGAAATGCAAACGCTTGCTGCATTTAGAGCTTGAGTGAGCCGGCATTGCGGAGGAGTTGCTCCAGCTCGCCGGCCTTGTCCAGCTTCTGGAGGTCGGAGTTACCTCCAATGTGCTTCTTGTTGATGTAGATGTTGGGGACAGTGCGCTGGCCGCTGATGTCCTCGAGGGCATCCTGCAGGGCAGAGCCATCAGCTGCAAAGGGAGGGTATCAGCAAACATCTTACCCGCCAAACATTGCCAGGCGAATTCATGGCAGACACGAGAACTCACAGTCCTGGTCGAGCTCAATCACGAAAGCATCGGCATTGAGCTGCTTGAGCGTCTTCTTGGTGTTTGAGCAGTAAGGGCAGTACGACTTCGAGAAGACGACTGGAATCGCGGGGAAAGCGCGCAGAGATGGTTAGCGGGAGGGGTTGAAACTCAGCAGCCACCGGGAGCGGGAAAATTCGACTCACTAGTCGCGTGCTCGTTGATGAGCTCCTGAACTCGGGCGGATGCTTCTCCCATTGTGATGTTGCTTCCTGAACCAAATAATTTGTTTCCGAGGGCGCGAAGAGACATGAGGGGCAGAGGAGGATGGGAGTTGTTGTGGGCGGGAGGATTATTAAGTAAAGCGGCAATCCGGGTATTAGCTGAGTTATGATGTGCGAGGAGATTCCGATTAGCAATCAATCAGTCCGCTCTAGAGGCTTCGGCTGGGCTGCTTTTGGGTAGGATATCCATCATAGACGCGGCCGGCGGGTGTCTTAAATAACCTTGTAGCACACGCCGAGGCCTGTAGAAACGGCTATGTCATAGCCCGCCATCGCCGTCACTTCAGAACTTCAGATCTGGATTAAGGATATTTTTAGGGGCCTTTTCAGGGTGCCATGCAGTGTCATAGGCTAATCAACCGGGGCTGGCATGCAGCTTTTTAGGGAACAGTGCCCGTCGTTTTGCCGCAAAGAGGAAGCGGCAGTTGGAATTGCCAACCCCCCCAGTGGCTGTGAGATCGATGAAAGCTGCGATCGCCTATCGAGGTTAGACAAACCGATAACCGTACGATAGACTTGATCCTGGTGGTCGTTTGCAAGTTACCGGGCGGCGCAGGGTGCGCACATACCACGAATATAAATACAGGGTGATTTTCCTCTAGGACAAGGCTTTGACGGCTGTGGGGGCAGCTCTCTAGCGATTCCGAGTGCTTGTCATTAGCTCAGCACCTGATCTCTAGATGACGTCTAGTACTATACTACCGCCCACCCAAATGCTGACGTCGGCAGTGTTGTACTTACCTACTTACTCCGAAGAGCGCCATCTCTAGCGGCTTTGCATTGGATCAATGCAAGCGAGGACACTGGATTCAGTCAGGCCGAAACACCGAGTATCGCCATGGCCATCAGAGGAGCTACGCTCTTTATGCGATGCGACGTGTTAGACACCATGCCGGGATAGAAGAGTCGCGGATAAGTGTTTACTTGTGGAGGGCTATGCACTCACGAAAGCAGTCAGTGAAAAGGATGGGATTACGAGATTGGTCATTTGAACTTAGGCTTGGGCATTCACCGAGGCTTTCAGTCAGTAGAGAACCCAATGATCTGACAGAGTGTTGCCACTATCACTTTCAACATCAGAATCGAAACACCACCAATATCAATATTACTCATCTTACCGAGCATGGCGCTGCAGAGGATGGAACAATGCGGGGTGTGTGCATGCTGCGTGCTTGGAGCATCGAAGCCTCAACACGTATGTCGCTTGTTTAGGAGGCTTTGGGGCTAACAACAGACCGGGTTGCCGATCTGGATGACATATCGACACCGCTAATCTGAAGATCGGCACGAATGCAGCAGGAACAAGGGCCGTTATGCACCAGAAACAAAATGGGTGTTTGG